ACAACAGCCGTGTATTTGACTACCCACTGCGGCTCTACATCGCCCTTGAGCCCGTCTTGATTCCCTTCTCCTGCCAATACACCGGACCCGTTCTCCCCCGAACCAAGTATTTGCCGTAGCGTGCCGCGCGGTAAGATGTTGGTGCAATCGTTATGTGTCAGCAGCTCGATCTGCTGTTGCTTCGCATACAGTATCAACGGCTTGGGTACGACACAGCAATCCCGCACGTTGATCTGATTCACACTTGGTTTTATCTTGGTCTGTTCGAGGAACTTGGTCAAGCGCGCGACGCCGAATTCTGCGATTCCGAGTTTCGATACCAGTCCCTCTGCGTGCAGTTTCTCGAGCGATCGCCAGGTTGTTACCATGGTTTCTATGTCTTCTGGTGGCGCGCCGGCGTCGGGGCAGTCGCCGGTGGTGTTTTCGGTTGTGGATTGTGTCGCGGAGGGAGGCGAGGGCGGTTCGTCGTCGTCATCGAGGTCGGAATCTTCATCGTCGGCGTCGAAAGATACGCCGGGGAAGCTGACGATGAGGAGGTCTATCGAAGATGTGCCCAGCTCTTTCAGCACTAATTCTATCGCTTCTCGTGTTTGTGCGCAGCGTCTGTCGGTGGGTATGTTGGGGAGGTAGAACAGTTTGACTGTGATGTCGTAGGATTCTCGCGGTTCGGTAAGGGGTGAGGGTGTGTGCGTGGGTACGTATAGGGCGGAGTCGGTCTTGGTAGTCCATGTTGTGTAGTCGGGTTTTGAGGGTGTTGGAGAGGGTTGGTGGGCAGCGAAGTTTGCGCGCAGGGAGGAGGTGAGTTCAGTGTTTGATTTCTCGAAGAAGGGTCGTCTTATCACGGAAGGACCACCGGACATGGTATTTCTGGTTTGTTAGGTAAGGCATTTGGAGAGATGGAGAGACATACGAGGTAGATAGCACGAGCTTCATGATTGCGACCAGTCGTATCGCGCAATTATGACGCGAGATAGAACAGTTCTGACGAAAGAGCTTCCTATATTGTGTAGTGGTGACTCTTCGGGGGCATTCGAGATGCCGATGAAGGGTGAACGTTTGTCAGCGGGTGGGTCGTCTTAGGAGAGCAGTCGCGTCGGATGTGCAGTAGCGCAAATATTTCGAATCGCAAGGCTTTAGGCAATGATTACTAGGAATGGGCCGAGAGCAGAATTGCTTGCGCGCATATGTCTACTGTCCAGACTTCGATGGTGATAGCGGGGATATGAGGGCGCATTGGCGTCTCAAAGTCGCGGGGCTGGCCTGTGACCGCCGATCGCCGAACCTAACATCTTTCCCCATTGCGCCAGACACAAGCTACTGCCATCTTCTCCTCACACGACACCATGACGATCAAGTAAGATGCACTCCACTACACTGCCCATAACGAATTATAGTGCTAACAGCTCAGGTACCTCATTCTGCTGTCCCGGCAGGGCAAAGTGGTTGGTCCCTCACCCTAGAATCCCAAGTCCCTTGCTGAAGCTCGCAGCGCCTAGCCAAGTGGTTCACCACGCTCGCCCCCAAAGACAAGGCCAAGATTGTCAAAGACGTTTCGCAACTCGTCCTCGCCCGCCGCACCCGCATGTGCAACTTCCTAGAGTACAAAGGTCAGTGGGTCCGGCAGGGGTAAGAGCTTCGCTAGCTCACACTTTCTCCAGACACCAAGATCGTATATCGCCGATATGCCTCGCTCTTCTTCATCGCCGGCTGCGACTCGACCGACAATGAGCTGATCACGCTTGAAATCGTCCACCGCTACGTCGAGCAGATGGACAAGTACTACGGCAACGTCTGCGAGCTCGACATCATCTTCAACTTCCAAAAGGCCTACTTCATCCTCGACGAGCTACTGCTTGCCGGTGAGATGCAAGAGAGCAGCAAGAAGAACGTGCTACGGTGTATCGGACAGCAAGACAGCCTCGAAGATATGGAGGTGAGTGAGGTGTGATGACTTTCGGGTCTGTTTCGCCGCACGCACCCATAGCGCCAGCTGGCTGACGCGCCCTGTCGTCAGGCTGAGGACGATATCGTTACCAAGATTATGTAAAAGTGTACGGAACGCACTGTCGCACCTCACCTTCTGGCCCTCCGTCACCGCCGTCCCAAGAGTCCCACTGACCGCGCCTGATGGCTTCCAGAACGCGGATGAATTCAAAGGCCGACTTCGAGAGAGCGGCATCTTGTAGATCCGATCCGACATCCGCATACGAACACACATTGTACGGCGTTATTGGAGTTTGGGGTAGGGCTACGGCACACAGTCGACTGTCACAACACGGCTCATGCTAAACATCTTTCCAAGGGCAGGCGTCAAGAGCGAAACGATATCACACGGCGCAGGGGTTGGATCATCTGGAGAACGCACTACCTGCCATCCTGCCTTGTAGAGCGGATGGCGGTAGCTGTACTCTATCTACTACAATTCATACACCTCGGACTGGCGGGCTTGCTCGACACAGCTAGGTTTGACACAAGCGGTTCAAGGGCTCGAACGTGATCACACATCATGATATCGAGACTTCACCCTGATAGACTTGACAACTCTCTCTCCCTTTTTTCTTTTTCCTTATGCTGGTACACTTACCTTATTCATCTAGCTACATGTCTCCACACCGCCGAGACACTGCGCACCTGCACTTCGTGACAGCAATTGGTTCGGATCAGCGTTTGGTCCTTCATCCAGAACCTTGACATGCATTCATCAAATGATACGTTGCCGAATTCACGTGGATTCATCTCCAGGCATCTTCTATCCTTCACGTGCTCGACCATCAGATGACATGCCCCGCGTACCAGACACACTCGGCATGGCCGCAGACAACTAACATCAACACTCAACACCAGTCGCCTACCCATCCACTCTTATCGGCAGCTGTTGTTGGTTGAGAGGCAGGTTGCGCATCGACCAATCAGGAAGGACGACCCGACACACATGCCGCTGTTAGCTCGGCGACACCGCCAAGCTGACCTTCTCCGCAATCGCGACCACGTCGTTACAGCGACACCGACATCTCACACCACTACCACGCTCAGGCCATACATATGTCCACTGCCTGCTAGACGATCGTCTGGCCGAACGACAGTACCCTCTCCTCTCCGCAGCCAGCCTAGAGTCGTGTTTACTTGTTGTATCGGTTCGCGCAGGCTACCCCCTCCCGACCACAGCCACACCCACGCCCAGCAGCCACGGCGCGCTGAATCACACCGTATCTCGAAGATTTCGGATCATACGCGATATATTCGATAATAGGCACTCAGCCCAAACGAGTCCACATCAAGCGCAATGAAGGTAAGTGCTCGATGCGATAAGGCTAGGTAGAGTGACGACATAGCTGACCCGGTGGCACCGTAGTACCTCGATTTGTGCGCCCTCCACGAGGTCAACCTCGCCCTCAACTTCGACACACAAGACACAGCAATCATCGGCGGATGCGATCTCTGGACGATTAAAGCAGCGGGAAGCGACAAGAAGTTGTACAAGCGCATCGAGAGGACGCTCGAGGAGCGGCACAAGGACCTGCTATCAGCGGTTGCGGGGCTGTCCGAGCAGTCTGCAGCTCAGTTCGCAGACCAACTCGACATCTCCCGAGACACGCCGTTCGGATCCTTCAGCGAAGCAGCAAACCGTCACACCTTCGCATACCTCATCGCGACGCTCAATGCCACACACATCGACTACGATTTTGCCAACACACTGAACCCCGACGAGTTCCGTCGCGAGACCATCCACAGCTTCATGCACAAGATCGACACTACAATGTACTATCTGCGCCCACAGGTGTACTCCGCCGGACTACCAGCAGGCGCCGTCACACCGCTTGGGTCGCCGATATGGAGTCCGCGAAGTTGGCACCTGCTCGATACGGAGATGGACATGTCGAACTGTGAATACTATGCATGGGAGCCGTCAGATGACCCCTTCGCTGATGACGGTGCGATTTGGAGTCACCACTTCTTCCTGTACAACAAGGAGCGGAAGCGAGTCGCATACTTCTATCTCCGCGGGATATCGGCTTTGTCGAACTCGCCAAGTGTCGCCATGTCGCTCATGTCGAAATTCAAAGCATCAAAATACGAGTCCAGTGCGAATGCGGGCAGTAGGAAGCGCGCGGAATACTGGCTCGGCGATCGTGCTAGGAAGGGGCTTGAGGCATATGGAGACAGTGATGAGCTCGACAACATGGTCATTGATCACCCCGGCGATGTTGTCGATGCAGAACAACAGCGGTACCTGCCAGCCAGAGACATGAGCATGGACGCCGATTACTACGAGAGCGATGACGACAGCGACGTTGAGTCACTGGTAGACCGCGAGAGGGCCGTGAGTAAGATACGGACGATGAGCGAGGGCATCATTGAGAGGATGGAGCTTTGAGCTCTCTGCATCTTCTTCGCACGCCGTCCTTGCTAACAGCCCCCAAGTCTAGGTCTGCCACTTCATGGCACTCAACATGTCAGGTGGCTGGTTACGAACTAATTTCTTTACGTGTTTTACATGCGGCATTTGAGGCGTTCTGTGGAGTTTGCTACCTGTTTTTCCAGTTGTCTGGCATCTCTTCACCGGCTCGTGAGAAGACGACCCTGACTGACACAAGGCGTTACGGTCGGTGGGAGCGACGCGTTCTAACGTCCTTGTTGCGTTTCGTCTGAGCCTTGAGATACCCCTGTTTGTTTTCTTGTTTTTACGAGCGTCTTCGTCTGCTTCTGTATGCGTAGTTGATAGATCGATGGTGATGATGGGATGGGATGTGTTACGTGAGACGTGTGAGAAATCGAGGATATATTGTACATTCCATTACTCCATGTTCGTGTGCTGTTACTGACCGAAAATCTTCTCCACGCCATGTAAAAAGAGTGTCCGTTTCTCTGCTCCAAGCGGAGTCGCTATCCGTCCCCACGCGAACGTCTAGTATATCTCGCCCTTCCTACAAGACCCCTAAGATCCATCAGACGTCGCCCCACCACCCCAAGCACACTGAAAGTAGCAATCCATCTGCCTCTTAGACTCCTGAGCCGTACCACTATCAAACTCATTACACAACGGCCCAGCCCTTGGGTCCCAGCCCCCAACCTTACAATACGCCGGCGCACTCTCATCGTTGTCCTTGTTCGTCGCCCACGACTGCCCACCAAGGGTGAATTGGATGTAGTCCTTCTGGTTCTCTGGCGTGACTTCGAGGGTGTTTTCTAGCTTGCTCTTCATCATGAGTGGGTTGCCGGCTCCGGCGACGGTTCGGTCGACGTAGCCGATTTGGGCGCCGGAGACGTCCCTGCAGAAGTAGAGGTACGAAGTCAGTATATGTCTCACGGGCACTTTGTAAAGTCAATAACTTACCACATGGTGATTTCGACGCTGAGGTTTTCGTCGTGCGAGTCGCAGGTTTCGTATTCGTTGACGTGGATGTGGCATTGGCCCGGTTGGTCGGCGTAGGGGGCTACGGGTTCGGGTGTTGGGGTCGGTGTGGGCGTGGGCGTGGGGGTTGGTGTTGGTGTGGCTTTGATCGGGTCCTTGAAGTCCTTGTCTGGACATTTGTCGGACCAGTATTGCTCCTAGAGGTCTCGATTAGTATGGGTATTTTGTGTCGATGAAAAGCGAAACTTACTGCAGCATTGAACGCCCAATTCTGGGCATTTTCGAGCTTTTCTTCATCATCAAGGTTGAAGCAGCCGGCAGAAGTTATGCTGTTTTTACGATCAACATCAATGATGCCACCGATCCTGTCGTCGGGCACAAAGTCGTAGTGCGTGAATTCGTGTAGCATTGCGAAAGACAGCGTTCTGGCCGTGTTGTCGATGTAGTCTCGCTTGAAATCCGCACATTCGGTCTCCGAGTTTTGCTTTAAAGCAATGCCCTTAGGACATATATGGAAGTGTCCATCCGTAGGAGTTGTATAGGCGAGCCAACCGTCTTTCTCACAATGGTCGCCGAAGTCAGAACGCTCAAGGACCATCTTCTTTATGGTGTCTGTAGCCGAGTCTGCCGTGGTGTCGTACATGTTTGCCATGGTGTTTTGAATGGCTTTGATATCATCTGCGTCTTGCTTGCCGAAGAAACGTTTGAAGTGCACGTTGTCGGGAGCGCCTCCGGCAGCCGTAATGCCTGCTTTCGCTAGGTCTGCCTAGATAGTCGAAAACTTCTTAGCGATACGCTCATTGTGGAGTAGAGCGAAATTATCAAAACAACGGGGGTTGCTCTTTGTGTGACAGATTACATACCCATTGTTTGAACGCTTCGTGTATCTTTTGCCCATCTGCCTTTTGGGCCTCATCGTTGGGGTCCCAGCCCAGCCACTGAAACTCGTTGGGGAGTGCATCGCCGTAAGGGTAGGACACGGGGTCTTCCCGCTTTACAGCGTGTACCTTTCTAGAAGATATCAGTTCTGCATGGCTACCAGATATAGTAGAAGTGTGTCTAACCCATCGATGGGCTTAGCGGAGGTAAGCCGACTGATTGAAAGCACTGCGGCAAGGAGGCTCAGATTGAGATACATGCTCGTGGTCTCAGTAGGTAGTTAAGCTTGGTAGAAGTCGGTCGGTTGTATGATCAGAATCTCGATGTCCAGAGCATCAGTGCTTTATACACATCCATTGGGGCTGTTTTGACTTGGGGATATTGCACGTCAACAACATGCAACCTTCATAGACCCCAGAGTACGCCTGAGCAAACGGTATAACACCGCCTTACCTCAGAACTTTGGGGCAGTCGATGGAGTCTCGGGCTTTCCGAGTATGTGAATAGGGCCTTGAAACAAGGCTATGACGATTGATCGAGACATTTGCCGTGGCACTGTATAAGATGATTGATGGAGAGACGGAGGAACGGATAATACAACGTCATGTCGATGTGTCTGGTGCCTCTCCTGGGGCTAAGTGGCCATGGCCTGGAGAATGCACAGGGCGTCTTCAGACTCCAACCCACAGCAGTCGCTCGGTACAGACGGGCGTCATTGTTTCATTCCGATCGCAAAAGAACATGGTGTTCCAGGCAGAAGGTTCTGTGGCCCCCTCTTGTACAAAGAACTGGCTTCGTCCTGGGGTGGCTTATCTGTTGACTTACCATGTAGCCTCAAAACTCGGCTCAACGTAATCCTCGGGACATAAGCAGCACTGAAACCCCAGTAAGTGTATAGCTACAACAGCAGTATAACGCGTACCTAGGTAGTCAGGTGACAGTTCACGATGGCTGTGTAGTCACCTCGCCCCACGAGCATCTCAATTGTGCCTTAGGCCCTCGACAATGTTTTAGCAGGGGGCGAAATGCAAAGTATTACTATGCATGTTCGGTGCGACGGACGAGAACAAGGCCTGAGGCGGTTTGGTGACACCCGGGGGCCAACCTGAGATTACCTAGGTAGCGCCGTTGACGTCACATCACCATGGGTGCCTGGGTAGGCAAACCACCAACATATCGTTCCTTATATTCGTCGTCACTGCATCAAGTAACGAGAGATCTGGTAGCGGAGATCTATTGTCGCAACTTCTGCCATGGCTCCTTCTTTCAATTTCACACTCTACACCAGTGCGTTCTGCTACATTAACTGCAGCGATACGTTCGACATCACCCTTGTACGCAATATCGACTACCACTCAAAACTCACCATCGATACCAAGAACACCCTCTTTGATCCCGAGGCAGCCTTTTCAAAGGGGTTGTTCGAAATTGTCGACGCAGAAACTGGTGAAAAAGTGGATTACGTGCCCTCCAAGACTGGTACTCAAGACATTGAACGACGACTTCTCATACTAGATCCCGAAAGGCTCGACAGCTATACCATGTGGTCGACTCGTCCAGGCACTACGGTTTCAAACCCCATGCCCTATACGTTCGATCTATCATCGCTCGTAGCGGGGAAAACGTATACCATTCGTCTCAAGTCTCATGGCATCACGACTTGGTACGCTGGTGAGCATCATGACCCATCCAGCTTACCCGAGCCGGAGACAGAACGCATACCGCAACCATCTTCCCCACTCCCTAGCTACACCTTCAAAGCCCTCGTCACAGTGCCCTCGCCTCCGCCTATCCGTCCAACCATACTCACCTCCACCGACACAATATCCGTCTCAGGCAACCCACCATGCACCATCACCCTCGCCTGGCACCTGGATCGCACCCGCACCGACATCACCAACACAAAAGGCATCGCAGTCCTACGCTCCATCCCCCACGGCCGCAACAAAGCCAGCGTCGAACTCCGGGACCTCAAAACCGGAAAAAAGCGTGGTCCAATGAAAGGCTACAGCCCTCCCGACGCAGACGTAGAGGGCGAGACCGACCCTTTCCCGCCCAACGAAACTGAAGTCCTCGTCTTTGAAGACAGCGAGACTGTGCATGAGAGGAGTTATACGCTGATTTCTGATCCCGAGGAAGCGGGGATTTGGGGGTCGGATACGAGACTTTTGAAGGTGGGAGGAGAAGATGGGAGGTATGGGGTTGGTGTGCTTAAAGGGGATTGGGCTTGGATAAGCAGAGAAGAAGTCGGGGAGGAGGTTTGGGGGGATCGGGAGAGGTTGAGGGGGGAGTTGGGGAAGGTGCCGATGAGGAAGTGGAGGGCGGATGATGTCAAGGTTGTGGGGGTTGTTGAGTAGACGGGAGAGGGCCTGTCGCGTTCGGGGTAAATGGCATTCGAAAGGGTGATAGTTGCGGATATGTGTTCTTTCACGACTTTTTCCACGTATCGGTGAAACCCAGGATCAAAAGACTGTCTCGAGAAGCTATGAGGCTGGCCCTCGACACACTAGCATTATCCGCAGCTGACTAGTCCTTCTGACCCCATGAGAGCCACTATAGCCGTTTTTTTGGTCCTCTGGGAAGAAGCAGACATAGCCTTTGATTCTCGGTTTTTTAGGAACTTTGAGGATGAAGGAGACTGACTCTACCCCGCTGATTAGACGTTCAGCTCGTGGTCTTTTATACTCCTCAAACTCTTCGGGCAAACGGCGAACCATGACGCGTTCGTATAGTTGATCCCAGTATATCCATGACCGATATCTTGAAAGCATATTCAATATTTGAAACAGCGATATAGCGTTGCTTACACCATCACACATAAAGACCTGAAGCTTTGGAGAAAGGAGCGGAATGTCGACTATCCCCGTGGCGAAGTACGGTACTCTCATGCCAACTACATCTACTCTTTTCAGTTATTTAGAGGCAGCAATAACATATGCTTGAGCGGCATAGTTTACGATCCGAGCAAACGAAGCAGACATTGAATGGACACACATAGTTTTGATTCCGACGCCAGACCCATGAACTGCGTCATTTCCATTTTTGTTGGTATTACAAAGTAAGTGAGAATAACGAAACATCCAGCTTCCGGGGTGGGATTTTATACAGCAGCCAGCAGACGTTGGTCCTCATGCGAATACCTAGTCATGATTTGAAGAATTTCGACTTCGCCGACTCAGCAGAAACCAGTCATTCTGTAAATCCGAGGAACTTGCGGCAGGCCGACAACATAGTAAAGATATCCTATCATTTTATGGTGCAGCGGAAAGACATGAGAAGGTGCTCTACTTATTTTTTGGGTAGGGTTGGCAAAGAAAGTACGATGTTTGTATTTGAAAGTCGTGGAATCTCGGAAGAGCCAGGACATGTGGACAAGACCTGTTTCTTTTAGAAGATAGCCGCTCGCACTTGTCTTTTTTCGAAGGATAGAAGACAAGCAGAGGTGGAAGGAAGCAATACCTCGCGGTTCTTGGACTTTATAGACGAGAGAGCACCGAGTGCCGGAACAGACATTGTCTCTACAACGTGTACTTTTAGAATTGCCGGAAGGAAGAACATAGAGCATAGCTCTATGCGTTTTGGTAAACATCAGAAGAGGTGTGCGGATGAAGATGCGAGAAGAGAGTGAGCAACAGGAGCGTATTTATATGCCGTCTAGTACTAGGCACACCACCGCCGCAGCCCATATGTTGCTGCAACGTTTGCTTTTTGGTGTCTGCAACGCATGGCGGCTTCATTGTCTACGTTTGAGAATTTGCGCCAAACCAGTGCAAATAGATTCGAGATCCGCGACTGTATCGATCATATCCATATCTGGTAGAGGTTTCTTGGTGGTAATGTGTGAAAACATATGGTGATCGAGCGTGTGTTTTAGTATGTCGCAACAGAAGACAGGACAGAACATAGCGTATGCGATGGTTGATTTTGGTACCAGAATCTCCAGAGTCATATGTATACTCGAGGAGGATTTTGGGAGCGGAGAAGCGGCCATGACTCTGTCTCATACCTTTTTGGGTCAAAGCAGAGGAAGTGTTGGCGAAGGAGTATAGGACAACACGGCGCTTATATAGTAGAACAGAGGCAGCGATTCAGGAAAACCATCGAAATGACGGGTGTACATTTTGCAGGCAGCGCGCCACTAATCCAAAATAACAGTCGGCAATTTCTGCGACATGAGGTATCTGCACTCGGCTTTTAGTGATGCCAGTGCAGGGGAGAAAGATCATGTAGACTATGAAGAATCCTTTTTCTTGTTTCTCGAGGCAGAGACAGTCATATGCGCTTCGCTGATAGTTTTTGGAGAAGAGCAGGGCAAGCGCACATGGTATCGTGTAACCAACGTTTTTGGAAGAATTTCTTTTTGATAGGCAGAAAGTAGATTGATAGAAGTAGGAAGCCAGGAGGAAGACGGTTTATATATGACTACCGCGCCAAGACGTCCGGGAAAGCATGTAGTAGATCTTCCGAGTTTTGGAGATACACTGCACTTGCTAATGCCGATTTTGTGCAGTAACTCGGACGCGAGACGAAGACATCAGCTTCACGAACTGGTTATTTTAGAGAAACAAACCCCGCGGCTCATGCGTCAAAGAGGTTCTGCTTTAGAGAACAGACACATGCAAGAGCCGCCGCTGAGTTTTGGAAACAGAAGTGGAATGTGTGATAGAGAAGTAGAAGAGCAGAAGCCGAGTAGGAGACAAACGCTCTCGATGGTTAACTTGATGATGCACTGCGAGCGCGCCGGCAGACACATCAGCTTTGTTGGAGTCCTTTTCTGGAATGCTTCACAGGACAACGATGCCGCATATAATTTTCTTATCTTCTCTTCGACATCTTCGAACAAGCTTGCGTACGTGCTCATCCTAGTCCCAGAACATCACAGCATAGCCCACTCTTTTTGAACCTCGGGGCGAAGCAGCAGCCCGCGCATGAGACGGTACACTATGTGCTTTGAGTGCCAGAGCAGAAAAGTCATGGGCTGTTGCTACTTGGCTTTTAGAGGAAAGGGGAAGAGCAGAACCATAGCTACACTACATTTTGGTTTTTGGGAAATGAAGAAGTAGGTTGGTGTACAAGACAACAAGTCCAGAAAGCGAAGTATTTATACGGCTTGATCGCCTCGAACATATAGAATAAAGTCTTGCTGCCTTTCACCGCACATCATTCACTGTGTTGATAGTTTTGGAAAAGAGACGCTCATGGTTCTGTGGATTGGAAGTTTTTCGGAAGGAGAGAAACACCCATGGGTGTCGTGTTTTC